TTATGGGATCAATTTCAACTAGAGTGATAGTTTGGGGTTAAACGGCAGTTTATATTTTTGCGTTCATAGGATTACATATTACTACTACATACTTAATCCAACAACATAAAAATGTGAGCCTCACATTACAATTCATAATTAAATTCTTGATAAATAAGGAAAAACGTATCATGATTACTTACGTAAGCATGAATTATAATTATTTTGATGCATTGACTTCCCAACATTTACTAAAACATGGGTGGACATGGCTTTCCTTGTGTTAACTAGTACGTATAGAATTTAAGAAAAGTGTGTGCTCTACCATAAAGTCCATAAACAAAAGAAGCACGGAATCAAGTTTGTCTGAAGTTCAATTTTGCTACGTGCCTCGTCTTTGTAGTTGTGTTGTTCACCGCTTAGCTATATCTTCTCGTTTAACAATTGACTTGGTTTGGTTTGAAGATCCGCCTGAGATCATCCAAGATCCAAGATGCCCTTATCCAAGACTCTTGTAACTTGGATCTGAAGTTTTCGAATAAAAAGCTATCGTTACAGTCAGCTCGGAATCCGACCTAATTCAGACGTTTTCCTGGCAAACTTGTTGGATTTTCTTCTGGTTGGGCTTCTCGTGAGAAGATGGACTGCACGACAATGTTCTTTTAGCTAGTTAAGCCCAATTTTCAGAAGCCCGTTTGATATGTTCGGCTCATGCCCATAAGATAATCCTTGGATTAGTTTTTAAAGAAAACTAATGATAAAGATTTAAAAACTTTGAGTTTTAACGATAAGGACAAAATAAATGATAAAATGAATAGTATCAAGATTGACTTTTTAGTGTAAAAATGTGGTTTTTCGTTAAAGTGAATAATACCGGAAACTTTTCATTAAAGTTCCGTAGTTTTTAATTAATCCTTCTCTATCTTAATAGTTTAACGACTCCAACTCTTCTAGCGATCAAAAGGTTCTACAAATGTGATTAAAAAAAGGAAGGTGATGCTCCAATATGCATTTTTAAGTGAGTTAATCTCATCTTCTGTTTCACATCCCGGCGACATTCACTAAACATGAGGGATTAAAACACGGACCGATGAGATTTGTTATAAACCCCCACTAATGACAATGATCTCTTAAGTATTTGTAGGGAGGCCAACCAAATTGCATGGAACTCAATGATTATCCACTAATTCACCGTCCAACACTAATAGCATACCTTTTTTGCACATTCATTGAAAGCGTGGGTAATGTGATCATGTGATTTGATCCTTATTAAAATTTTAAAACCAATCTCAAAGTGTTTGTTTATTGATTTCTCCAAGAAATTGCAAATGAAATACTAAAAATCTCAAAGAATAACTATTATCAGTACTCCAAAAGTTGATGTGCACTTTTTGTTAGAACTTTTTTTTTCTTTTTAATAATCATAGAAAATTTAGAGTGTACAAATAGGTTCTTGGATGTCAATAACAAACCAAAATGTTATCATTGTATGAATAAATTATGGTCGTTGATATATTGTAATGCGTCAACAAGTGCATTTCGCTCACCACTAATAATGCTCATCACTATCAAAGGGTGATAGTACTCATCATCGTTGGATGAGTTTAAATTTTAAAATTTGTGTTTATCCACTACACATATCTCAAAATTTAAAACTTATCTAACTGTAAAAAAATAGGGTAGTGAATATCACTATCACTTAAGTGTGACGATAAAAAATATTCACTGCACCAATGCCTAAAGACTTAAAATGTATGAATAACTTTTTTTTTTGTCGGAAAATGTCTGAATAATTAAGAATTGACCACGTATAGGTGATTGATTGTTAAAGAATTTTGAATGTATAATAAATATAAATATACTTTGAAAACTAATGAGCAATTAGATTAAATAATCCCAAGTTATTGTAGACGTCTTATATTAATTTTTTTATAAAGATAGAAGGGAAGACACCACGTATTTATTCCTTCCTATCAAATGTTATAAAATATCATTGATTTATGAAATAAGCAATGCTTAAGACACCACGTATTTATATTAGATTGGTTGGTGTAACATCTTCTGCGGCAAATGAGAAGACAATTAATCTTTAATAAGATAAATTTGTTCATTAACCTGACACATCATTAACCACGCCTAAATAGTACACAAATATATTACAAAATCTATGCCTATCTATATTAGTTTTTTAATAGACGAAGATTATAAAAGATAATACTATCACTCGTTCAACTTACGTTGCGTTGAACGAGTCGTAGTAACGGATACCTTTCATCATTATTATGAAAGAAAATAAAAGATTAGGTTTAATCTCCTTTTATTATTTCACAAGTAGCCTTTGTAAATGAGATCGTTTTGAGCCAAATTAATTATTCAATGTTTTGGTACCTGAGGTAAACGTTTCTACTCGAAAGCAAAGAAAATCTTATAGAAAAATAAAAAGACACTTTCGTCCTCAAAGTCGACTGACTAGACAAGATCATGAAGATCTCGAGGAGGATAAAACTGGGAGCCACCTAAGTCCCCACGCGTAAGCCATCAGAGGGCTCCGCTGTCAGAGGAGGACAAAGAGGGTCACCGCCACCTCGAGAACTCCAAGCCACCAACCACGTGCTAACCCGACGGAACTCTCACGTGCCGTCCGTACGGAATTTGTTGTGTCCAAATTACACGTAACCCTCCCCGGTGTATTTACGAACCACGTATATTTCAGGGGGGTCCCACTGCTATTACAATTTTGCCCACCTGTCAATGCTTTTCTTTCTCCGCGAGATTTTGACCCGTAAGGTTGAAGATAGAATATAGACCCGAGATCTGCGGGTGGGTTTTGTATCCCGGGTGGTGATAAACTTATCCAAACCAGGGCCGTGGTCCGTGAGTATTCATAAAGCCAAGTAGCTCAAGGGAATAAATGCGCAATTGATTTCTATACAATTCTACATAATTTCGATCTTCTTTTGTGCGCTAGTGTTTATTTTTTCTCGCTTTGTTATATACAAAATTAAAAATAAACATATGTATGCATAAATATTTTGTCTCAAATTACGAGTATAAAGATTAAACGCATGATTATGTAAATTACTCTTACATGACTTGAACTTGAAACTCGTTTTTTTATTTTTTATGAATAGTACTATTCAGCAATTTGGTTTGGAAAAATAGCTGTTCAATATACATATAGTATACGTATTATTTCTTTCAAAACATGTTAAGTGCTTGAATGTAAAGATTATTCTTTTGTGAATGAACGGTTACAAATTCAAGTCATGGAAACAGTTGCGTACGATGAACGTTATTTTCCCTTACTTCTGACTCTTGCAAGCAGAAAGCTTTATTAGTTTGAGATAGTCTTTTTTTTTTTTTTTTAAATGGTAAAAAAGGCAATATTCACATAATACCAAATCGAAAATGGTTGAAAAAATGTGTTGGATTAACTCTTTCTTTACCTTCCATTTGTCAATCCGAATTTACCTTCTTTCATATTCTTAATAGGTTTCGGAGCAGTGAACTAATACAAGAAAGTCAAAATCGAAGTGGTTGAAATGTTGTTGCATGATTTCATTGCCCCAAAGCAATATTACTATGCTTGATCTTATCTTCCTATTTGTTTAATCATGAAGCATATCCTCCATTAATTTATGCATGCTTTTTCATTTAAAAACACTTAATTAGTATTAGTATATTAATTAAACAATTAAAAATTAAATCAATCAAGGTGAAACTGGGTACAACATGCACACCGATTTGTAAGATTAATTATTTGATTGTATAATATAGCACACAAATATTTGTTCCTTTATCTTTATATATAAAGTTAATGGCTAAATGAACAGTATTTTTTTTAGTGTTACAAGCTTTATAAAAAAAATAATTAGACAAAAAAGCTCCTCAAACAAAAAACTTCAAAAGCGACTCAAAATAATGCATAAAATGTGGCAGATGTATTTTCATCATTTTAACAGTATTTTTTTAATAATTATAATTTTTTTATACAGTTTTTTTTTTTTTTTAAATAATGAGTACCTCACAATAGACTAGTAATAATATGATTCAAAAAGTTTTTCATTAGATATATATATTTTTTATTTTGAAACACGTTCAAAACATCTTAAGAGGCATGTAATGCTAATTATAAAAAAAGTCATTCGTACGCAGATAATAATGTGACTAAATTAGCTGTTAAATGATTGTTTTTTTTTTTTAACAAACGATATTATCTACACTAAGGGGAAGGGGATTGGGCTTAACCTCACAATGGGCTAGCAATAATGTGATTCAATCAGTTGTTTATTAAATATTGTTTTCTCTATTCTTAATATAAATTCAATAGAGACTGATTTTATTATGTAAATTCAGCAGCTTTAATTGGTTTATGAAGGGTTTATTCTAGCATGATTTAAGATTATTCATGTATTTCAAATATTTGACTTTTCTTTTGTCAATTTACGTATATAAATACATTTAAAATATGTAAGTCGAGCATAGCACGCAATGATTGAAAAAATGCATTATGCATGTACGTGCATTAAGGCTAGGATAAGTATATTTGAAGGACGAGAACAAGGTGAAGTAGACAATTTGTCATTTTCAAAAAATTAGTAGAAAACTCGTCATCCAGCGAGATTAAACTTAAAATTTTCAACTAATAAGTGAGTTTGATATATCGTAATGAAAATGCTAAGGAAATTCTCTCAAAGTAAAACTTTTTATGAATTTTCATCTCTCAACTAAACGTTAATTCTTATACTAACACTCTATACATGATACAAAAAAATAAAGTATATTTCCTACCAATTGTTGAAGGGTTTTAAAATATTATTAATTTTGTTAAACCATTGGTTTTCCCACAGAAATTGCGGTAGATATTTTACAAGAGTCACGACGGTTCAATCCGAACCCCACTGTGTGATTATGTGGCCTACTTGGCATTATTTAATCCCCCCTCTCTCTCTCTCTCTCAAAACCGGTTATATATAATAAGAGCGACTGAACTACAATCTACCCTCGCATTTGAAGAAACTCCGAAGTCTGAAAGGTCCAAACCTCGAAACCCACCCGAAAAATGATGCTCGGAGAACCGACTCGAGTCCACCCGACTATCCAAGTCCCTCCCTGGGACTCATTTGACGATCATAACCCCACCTCACCCTTCCCCATCCCCATTCACTCCGTTAACTATAACGGCAATGCCTCCAACGGAGGAGACTTCTCCCCGCTCTCTCCAGTGTTCCTCGACTCCCTCGCCGCGCTCCACCGTTACCTCCCGTCGAACGAGTCCGACTCGCTAGCGGAGGACCCGGACATTCCCATGAACCCAATCTCCTGTGACCAGTTCCGGATGTTCGAGTTCAAGGTCCGGAGGTGCGCGCGCGGAAGGTCCCACGACTGGACCGACTGTCCATACGCCCACCCGGGCGAGAAGGCCCGGCGTCGCGACCCGAGAAAGTACCACTACTCCGGTGCTGCATGTCCTGACTTCCGCAAGGGCCACTGCCCGAAGGGTGACTCGTGCGAGTTCGCTCACGGTGTTTTCGAGTGCTGGCTCCACCCGGCTAGGTACCGGACCCAGCCATGCAAGGACGGGTTGGGCTGTAACCGCCGCGTCTGCTTCTTTGCCCACACGCCCGAACAACTTCGGGTCCTTCCCGGGCAGAGCCCGAGAACCCAAGGGTCGGGAGCTTTCGACTCGTATCCATTTGGTTCGCCCCCCACCTCGATCCTGATGTCCCCTCCATTATCTCCGCCGTCTGAATCGCCGCCAATGTCGCCAAACAGTCCTCAAGTTGGCCATAACTCGGTTAGTGAACTCGTTGCTTCGATGCGAAACTTCAAGCTTGCTAAGATGAAAATGAACTCCCCGCCTGCATGGGGAGCCCAAATGGGATCAGGGTTCGGTCCGTCTCCACGTGGGTCCGCCTTCCGATCCGGTTTTTGCAGCCTTCCATCGACTCCGAGTCGTACAACGGGTCGGGTCGGACCGAACCCGGTTGATCTCTGGGATCAGCCTTGCGAGGAGGAGCCGGCAATGGAGAGGGTGGAGTCCGGGAGGGACCTCCGGGCAAGAATGTACGCGAGAATGTACGAGAGGCTGAGTAAGGAGAATTCTTTTGGCCGAGTCGCCTGTGTTGACTCTGGATCGTCAGCTCCGGATGTTGGATGGATTTCGGAGCTAGTCAGCGAGTGAGTGCAGACGACGAGTCGCGGGACCGTGACTGCTGTGTCGACTCGTTTGTCGTTTTATCCGTTTTTGATTTATATTTTTGGCAGGTGCGGTAAAAATGGGAGTGGCCTTATGATTCTTCTGACCTTTTGTTGTGAATAGCGCGGTTAATATGAAGCTTTTTTGGTGTAAATGGTGGACGTGGAACTGTGAAGAACTTGATTTCGTTTTGCAAGTTTGTACAGAAAAAAACAACGAAGAAGAATTTTGTCGGGGCTGCTGGGGATTTGGGTAGCTAATATTAATGCTTTCATCATTGTTTATGAAATTGTTATTTTCTTTTTTTTTTTTCTTGTTATATCTAGTTTTCTCGGATAATATTATATTTGTATTTTCTCCCTTGTTGCTTAATCAAATTGAATCTTAGTATTCGAAATCCGTTAATCACCGCTTATTTCAAATCACAACATAATTCATAAACGTAATTCACTGTCTTGGTTTATTTTAAGAAAATTTTAACGAAAAGTTTGTAGTACTATTTATTTTAATAAAAAATTATATTTTTACATTAAAATTTTAATTTTGATATTATTTATTTTGTTTTTATCTTAAAATTTAAAGTATTTAAATTATTTTCATTAATTTTTTTATTTCTTAGTTTTATCTATATTTAATAGAGGTTTTTAGTCGTTAAATTTTTTATTAGGATAAATTTTCGGAAGATTCCCTGATGGTATAAAAGGTTAAGATGATGAAAAGTTGTATTTTGGCTTCAAGCCTTGGATTCTCTCATGCAAATGTATACGAAAGAAAATCAGTACTCGGTAGAGCTGTGTATTTTTTGCCATCTTGTATTCATTTTAATTTTAATGCAATGGGCGTGTGAATCTGTGGCTCACTGACTCTCTGGGTGTTTCTTTCTTTAGCAGGGACCATTTCTTTGATTTAATAATAGTTTCTCACTTTTTTGTGGTTATATGATTGTCGAGTGTTGTTCGCGTTCCGCGTAATCAAAATAAGTAGAAAATTAGAAGAAATTTTTTAAAATACAAAGTTAAAGAGGTGGTCGGTAAAAATTAAATATCAAATTCTTTAAGTAGAATACAAAGTTAAAATTAAATTTTTAAAATACAAAATTTTATATAAAATTTTTACCAACCACCTCTTTAACTTTGTATTTTAAAAAATTTCATAAGAAGAAGTGTTATTAACTTTGTATTCTACTTAAAGGTTAAAAAATGTCATAAAAAGAAGAGAGATTTATGTATGCTTAAAATATATTACAAATTTTTTTTAATTTCTTGTAATTTTTAAACTTTTTTAAATTCTTTAAATTCAAATTATAATTGAATACACTGAAATGTTATTAGCTTTTTTAAAATTCTAATTGAATACATATGAATTTTTAAAAATTTTAATAAATTATATTAAAGTCTTGATTAAATATAACATTGAATTTCAGATAATCATTTAAAACTCTGATTGAATAACTATAAATTCAGAATAAAAATTCTTCAAAATTCCAATTGAATACATCTCTTTAATTATTTTCTTCTCATGCCAATTAAACATGAGTAAATAAATAAATAAATAATTAATGGATGATTCCTCATTAATTTCTTTTTGCGAATCAAACAAAGCCTTACCGTTGAAGTGTCCATTTAAAATATTTTATAGTTAAAATTAATGTGTGGTTTGAAATTTAAGAAAATGATTAAAGATGTGTAAAGTAGAATTATATCCAGCACCACTACCTTTGTCAGTAAACAATTATATCATCTGTTTTTCAGGCAACAACGTGATTGGATTTGTGACGTGGCCTGTGGATAAGCCCGTCCTTATCCACATATAAAATCTTTCTTATCATCCAGTTTTGGTGCCACTTGTGTTTGACTATTCTTTCATCCTCAGGGGTTATCTGGAAAAATATAATATCTTTGATGTGAAGGTTTTGAAGACGGGATATGGTCTAGGAGCATCATTGCCTGCGGCCTACAACTCAAGTTACTCAATGCTTTTGTTGCACATTTCTTTTGAGAGAAATCCAGACTCTATCAAAATGAGATTCTCGATTGATTCTCAAACACTTTATATTTTGGCATAATATTTTAGAATAACATCGTGAGAATTGTATGAAAAATATAAAGTTGTAAAGAGTTCATTGTGGGACTTACTTGTCACCTTTCGAGACTTGTAGAAGGAATTTTAGCCTTTATTTTGATTTGAAAGACATTTCAAAGCTGCGTACTAATAATGAGACAATTGAAAAGACGCGAGTTGAACTTGAAACTCATTGACGTTTATATAGCGAATCAGTTAACAAAGTGGGATTTTAAATATGAATATTAACGTTTATGCGTGTGATAAACCTCCTGCTCGAATTGAATCATAGCTTATGGCTTATGGATGATATTTGTAGAATCTTTCGAACATGCTTTGTTCATCGTTAAAATACATATTGTCTTGATTCTATCCATCTATAGAATCAACTAAGATCAAATTGGAAGGATACGAGAGGCACATCCATGTAAAAATATAAAATAATAATTTTATATTGCAATCAAATCTGCAAATGCAAATACTGTTTCTGATCAATAAATCTCATTAACTCCATAAGGTAGATATTAATTATGAAGACAGATTATCTACCCTTCTGTTTGGATGTCCTTTCGATTCTTCTTTATTTATGTGATCTCGATTAAACCACGTCAATATGTTATATTCATATTGTTTTTTGTTTTATTATATTTATAAAAAAAATTAATATAAACTGTTAACATGATTTAATCGTGATCACACAAAATAAGAAAGGATGTAAAGAGCACTAAACAGAAGGGCAGACAATCTGCCTTTATTAATTATTGAGTTTAATGAGAGTAAGTGCTGCAGGCTGCAGGTTAGTAAATGAAGGAGTGATTTAATTAAAAAAAGGAAAAGAGGAGACAAAGTGGCGGTGGTTCCTAGGGTTTCGTTTATTTTGTCCTCTTCGTCGAACCACGGGAACTTTTTTAGTTGGGTGGGGGGGGGGGGGGGGGGGGGGGGGACGAATCCTGTAGTGGCGTGCTCCTCAGAACTTTTTGCTGGTCATCAATCACAACTAGACTTGATTCTTCAGCAGGCAAGTTCTGTTTTTTATGTAATATCCAATAGTCTAGACTATTATGGAAAAATTAAATACTTTGATAGTTGAAAATGTTTTCGACCAAGTTTGGCCCAAAAATAGTGTGTAGTTTTTCTTTTTTTTTTTTTAGGTCAAAAGTGTCTGTAGTCTATGGAAGGCTTTAATAAAGAAAAGCTTATCCAATACTTTTTCCATGTATGTGTGTGACATTCTACATTCTTTTTTACTTCTCACACATTCTTTTAATTTTCGATCGTTGAATCAGATAAATTAAAAAAGATAAAGAAAATGACATAAATTAATAAAAAGTGTGTAAAAAGTAAAAATGAGTATGTTGATAGGCACACCCCTTCATGTATAAAGCACTTCCAAATGTTTAAGTGGTGTTTAATTAACGTGTTGGTAATAAAATCACTTCACTTTAAACAAAAATATTTATGAGCAAAAATACTTTCTACATAAACAATTCGAAATTGACCTTAAATATGCACAAGCAATTCAACAACAATGACATAAGCTAACGTCTATCTCTTCTTTAAAAAGATTAACACGTAAAAGAGGTATACGATCACTTCTTCATCCGACCTCATACCCGTCGTATAAAAATGTCTTTACAACATTAAGGCTTTAAAATAACTAAAAATGCTTCTCTCAACATTTGTCATAAGAACTCGAAAATGTTTGTAGATTATAAAAACATCTTTAAAAAACATTGTGATGAAAAAATACTTATAAATTATCGTGTTTTCTAATAGGAACGTTTTGAATTAGACGTCTCATTTTTAAATGTTATAGTCTAAACATCTATTCCTTTTGCAAATTTGATTAAACATTTTCACTGCAATTTTTGTACTTTCATTTTATTTTATTAGAAGTCCATTCACATTAACATTCCCTTTTTCCCTCATATTTTTATGCATCTCTTATTATGATGATTTAAGGTTTTTTTTATTATTTTTTATTAAAATATTTATTTTAGTAAATTAAATAGAATGTAACAAAACTCGTTGTTCGGTACGTTTGATTATAATGGTACATTTAGTTACTTGATACATTTGAATTTTTGGTCCATTTGGCTTCTTGGCATATTTGAATTTTTGGTACGTTTGTTTTCAAAACATAAGTTTTAGTACTTTTTGTTCTAATAATGAGGAATTACTTTAATTAATTAATTTTTTTTTATAGAAAATGACGTTAACAATGTAAAAGTTTAAATTACTTTAATTAATTATTATTTTTCTAGAAAGAGTCATTAATCAACGGATAATAACATTTTCGTTAATTCAAAATTATATGATTTAGTGTTATTATTTAGCATTATCTACAATAATAAGGATTTATCTCCGATCAACTAAAAGTTGTTCCAGAGACTTATCTACCAAAAAACAAGACTATCTAGAGCATTGTGTATGAATCAAACATATTTTTAAACATTCCAAAAAGATGAATATTCATTTTAATATAGTTTATAATTGGGTACGTTTTTATTCGGGGTTGGTACATTTTCGTTTGACGTTGGTACATTTTCATTTAACGTTGGTATGTTTCCATTTGGTGTGGGTTTACATTTAGATTTGAAAAGTTTAAATTTTTAGACTTAAATATAGTTGAAATTATTTAAATATATAGCAGATATTTAAATGTAAATTAATTTCAATTAATTTGAAATAGGTCAAGTCTGAGTATCTTTGTCACATCCCGGCCCGGGTGGGACGACTTCCCGGGCCCGCTCCACCACCGTAGCACGATATTGTCCGCTTTGGGTCCCCACCACGCCCTCACGGTTTTGTTTTTGGGAACTCACACGAGAACTTCCCAATGGGTCACCCATCCTGGGAATGCTCTCGCGCGCTACTCGCTTAACTTCGGAGTTCCTATGGAACCCGAAGCCAGTGAGCTCCCAAAAGGCCTCGTGCTAGGTAAGGATGGGAATATACATTTAAGGATCACTCCCCTGGGCGATGTGGGATGTCACAATCCACCCCCCTTAGGGGCCCGACATCCTCGTCGACACACCATGGCCAGGGTTAGGCTCTGATACCATACTGTCACATCCCGGCTCAGGGCGGATCACTTCTCGGGCCCGCTCCACCACCGTAGCACGATATTGTCCGCTTTGGGCTTACCATTCCCTCACGGTTTTGTTTTTGGGAACTCACGAGCAACTTCCCAGTAGGTCACCCATCATGGGATTGCTCTAGCCCCCTTCTCGCTTAACTTCGGAGTTCCTACGGAACCCGAAGCCAGTGAGCTCCCAAAATGCCTCGTGCTAGGTAGGGATGGGAATATACATATAAGGATCATCCCTGGGCGAT